GTAATTTCAACGTTTAGTAATGATTCACTTTGCAGACAAGCAAGAAGAAAAATAACCGTGGTTGACTTTGAGAAATGTCGAGCTCGTTTGACCAAGTGTATGAAACAGCAGCAAAGATGCGGAAATGAGGTGGATCCAGTTTGCGGAAGCGATGCGAATACGTATCCGAATCAGTGTCACTTGAACGTCGCAGTGTGTCTGTAAGTTTTCATTCTATCGAACGTCCATTCAAAGAGAATTGAACAGATAAACGACACGTGATTGCCATAACGAGAAGTTACTATCAAGTGTTTCGCGTTACATCAGTCATTAGTAATGGATCAATCAGTCGTTGATCCCTGACGTTATCGTTGCCTTTCAGAAAGGGTATTCAATTGGCTCACGTCGGAGAGTGCACAACCTTGAAGGAGACCGAACAGTGCCCCGAAGATTGTAGCGAAGTACCTGAGGAACCAGTTTGTGGAAGCGACGGCAATGTTTATCGGTGATTAAGAGCGTTATTTGGATTCCAGGACGTTCGGCGCTGAGAGTTTTTTGAAACTGTTTTGTTGGATAACAAAAATCGCTACTCACCGCGAAGAATGGACATTCGAGTCTTTCTCAACCGTATCATTGAAATTTTTGTTTTCCATTTTTTTTTTATTGGTATTAGTACAATTAATGGTATTCAAATTTCTATCTAATCTATTGATAAAAGTTTTAATGATAATTACCAATCGGATCTAGCAATTCTTTTTCCTGGAATTCTAGCGCAGCACTCTATGTTCCTAATTTCTTAGAAAACTCTGCGTCTCTAATGTCTCAATTTATCTACTTATTATACGTTCAGGTCCCTTTGTCATCTGCAGCGTGAGACATGTGGTCAGAGGGTGGTTCAAGTTCCAGCACAGCATTGTCGTACCACCGCACTTTGCAACCAGATCTGCAGCGGAGAACGGCAGTTTGTTTGCGGTTCCGACAATAAACTTTATCGCAACGAGTGTGAGATGAAGAGGGACAATTGCGGGTAAGCAGCAATCGTGTTTGAAATTACATCTTACCTGAACTTTGACGACCGTTTAGATAACTCGATTAATTACGAAATTGTTCTGCAAACGGTGATGATCAATTTTTTTTTCTTTTTTTTTTTTCTTAGAAAACACGTGTACGTGGTGCCTATGAAGAGGTGCTTGCAAGGTTTCTTATTCCGTGGTTGCCAAAAGATCTGTTCACCTTACTACGATCCTGTTTGCGGTACCGACGGCATGACCTACAGCAACGAATGTTTCTTGGAAATCGAAAACTGCCGTAGTCGAAGCCTAGTTACGAAAAAGTACCATGGTGTGTGTGGTCAACCGACTGAAGAACCTAAGAATTATTTGTATTAGATTGATCAAACTCTGTGTCTTCGTTAGAATGTCCTTTTAAAACAATATTTTTTCAAAAATTGATTTCAAGACGACACATATGTTGATTATCACTATAAACGAATTGAATTATATTCTTTCGACGAGCGCAATAAATTCCTGTGAGATATTCTTATACGACGACCGAACGATTTAATCGAGAAAGGGTATCGATTTTTGCACTTCGATCGTACATATACTGTTACTGTTCGTTCGTCTTGAAATCATATTCGATAAATCTCCCGAGTATCTACAGAATTTTAATATAAGATGTCTTTCGAGAGAGAAATATTTCGAGAAACAGATATTTCATTAATCGTACGCCTAACTCGAATTACGATAATGAACGACAATCGAGATTTTTATTGTTACTCCTGTAATCTTACTATATCGAGACTCACGATTTCTCGCATTCGTCGCGATTCTCGATCGCTAATTGTCCGATCGATTGTATCAATTGACCAAGACTGTAGTTTATGGCCAACAGCCAATTTCCGCGACACGTGCTTCGCATTTTTATCGATCATAAGCGCAAGTGTCCACAGACTACCAAGTCTTCGTATTTATTTTATATATTTGTTTTTGGATTGAAATGCGACATTGGCATCCACGCGCGATGCAAATATCGTCGTATTACGAATTTCACGATGCTAGATCGAACGTGCGTTCGTGTGATCCCTTCGACATTTCCGCACATTAAACTCGCCGGTAAACTCATTTCTTATTTATTGTAGTATTATTATTGATTACACGTATCATCCTTGCATCATTCTTTTTATCGTTGTTGCTACGGTAATGCGAATAGTTCCAGAACGTACTCTTATTTTAATTATAAGAAAGTATTTAGCTCTATATATATATATATATATACATATACATATATATATATATATGTGTGTGTGTATATCTCTTTCTGACATGTGATGTGTGTTCATACTATAATTTTTATTATCGTACCTTTTTTATTTATTATCGAACATGCGGCTTTGTGTCGATACTAACATGGCATGCTTCAAATGTCAAATAATAAACTACATACGTATATATTTTAAGGTAAAACGTGATGCAAAATTATTGAACGCGAGCACCGACGAGGTATATGATGCGAGATACATCTCGTTCTCACAATTACTTACCGACGTGAATGGTAATGGACGCTGCAGTTTTGGAACAATATTGCACGCGAACGTCGGTAGATAGCGCTAATATTCACAACGGCTGTGAACGCCGCAAGATGGCGGTGACACATTCTGATATTGACAGGTGCCGTGCGAGCATGGCGGCTAGTGTTTACGACAACTGATCGCGACCGATCGAATTTGCGAGTGACCCGGGTATCTCGCGTATTGTTTACGATCTTATTTTTGACACAGTGTCTCTGTGTTCTTCCGATCGTACGCCGAACGTCCGTTTGTTTCTCTTTCAAGTAACCAAGTGTATCGATTGTTTCGATCAGTGAAACGTGTGCCCCGTCTCGAGAGTTTTGGATCAGGTGGTGGATTTGTCGGTGGATACAGGAGTGCTTTCGAAGCGGATCACTGGAATATCACGAGATTCGTCGTTATCGTAAGTACTAATAATGTTCAGCAGACGAACGATTGATTGAGATAAATCGTGAATGATCGTGCGGCTCCCCCTTTTGAATAACGGCGTAAAATTTGATAAGAGAACGACGGTAGAGGCCATCTTTGAGCCTCCCTGTGTGTGTTTGTCACGCCGGCGAAAGAGGATCGCGATTACGCGAATCGTGTTACATAAAATGCTGCTGTAGCATGACACACAGGATGCCTGAAATAATCGTTACGCGACAGGAAGGGCTTCCTTCTTCCTGCCATCCTGCTGGATGTTTTCTACGCAGGTCGCGTATCGAATCTATCCGGATGAAAATATTCACCTTGAGCCATCCCAGCATCGGACCGTTCTCAATTTTCATTTGTTTTAACGTCTGATTTTTTTGACATTACCGGTGAAACTTTTACTCGACGCTCAATTATGTATGCGCAGGCACGTCAGGTGTAAATAATATCGGAGATCGGACAGTGAAGTAATTTTCTTTGCAACGTAGACAATTTTGTTTCCCACTTACGATTGCGATTTTTGCTTCGGTGTTCTTGCCCCTGTTTCCCCAAAAATAGAAATAAATGTATGTAGCACTTGCATTGATGAATTACACGAACGCAAGGAACAAACGAATATCGAAGAGCATATCGAATTAACACTTCGAGTTTTATAGAAAAAAAAATTACACATTGCTTTTATGTATTTTGAGCAGAATCGGAGTAATTAAGTTTAACTCAACAATAAAAGAATACATATATAGAGTGTTTTGAACTTAAACGACTAAAAAGGGTTAGGTTAACCTTAAACTGCTAAGAAGGTAAATGGTATATAAAATTCGATACCAAATGCCTGTTACAGAATTATAAACAAATATTGTGTATATCTAAGTATTATAATACATAGTCGGCGTCGTTAAGTATATATATTTCTTCATGTGTCAACAATTATAATTATATACATTAATTATAGTAATGCAATAAAAAATAATTTTTAATTCCATCAAGCTTCATATCAATGGATAATAGAATTGACGACACTATAAAGTTTTTGAGATTTTTTTTTTTGCTGAGTTTCAATAAAATTACGTTTTTAATTCTTTGCGCTTGTTCTCCATTGTAAAATTGCTTCCGTTGAATGAATTCTGTAAAAAAGCATTTCCTGACAAACTTTATATAACGTTCGCCTCTTTTTTTCATATGTAGATGAGGCCCTCGCGGTTTGACCGTTTTTAATTTCGGGACACCCTGTACATAGCAGCATGTATTCAATGCATCGTAACGTACAAAGATAGCTACTGATGATTGTTAGATTTCAAACGCGTATGAAATTCAAATGTAAGGAAAAGGTTACCTATGTGGCCTTATATAACGTCGTAACGTTATTTACCTTTATTAACGAAGCAACATGAAATACGTTTTTCTATTTTCTC